AACCGCGCACAGGCCCCAGCGAGGCGGGAACTGCAGTCACTTTGGAAATGCAGCTTGGGTTGCTTTGACCTCCTGGCAGCTTCGGCACCCCTCACCGCACCCCTCGCGCTGCCGGTGGCGTCTGCTTGCCACGGAAAGCCGCGGGCACGGGCAGGCTGGCAGGCTGCGGTGCTCACGTCCCACCGACAGCGACAGCGACGACTGCCTTCAGCCAGGTTAAAGAGTGGGATGCGCATACAATCCTTAAAGAACCTGGGTGACACATACTACTGCATTCAAGCAGAGCTATGAAGAGACAGACCTTCACTTCACCTTCAGTACATTCTCGCGGATGAACACACAAAAGTCAGGATTACCTTTTATGCTCGTGGTTAGGCTGCACGACTCTCCCAATTTTCCCCATTTTCGCCATGGCCTCCTAGTAAAAGACAAACACAAACTGGAAAAGCCTGTTTTGATTTAAAATACTTTTTGACAAGAACAAGATGTTTCAAAACCAATCGGAACATTACTGATGTATTTTGTTTCGGCTAAACAGGCCAGATGGCATAAAATATGTTCAATCCCATTATATAGTAGTCATGAGAACAAAGTACTGCAGACCCCTCAGTAAACCAAAATCTGTTCCTCTTTCTTACTGGGAGTCTGAGGCAGAACAGACTTATCTTTTACTATTTACACTAACCAAAGGAAATGTTAAACATTGCATCCCCGGAGGGGAAATTTCGCAAATAAAATGGTACTGTACATGAGATCCCTTAATCATATTCTTAAAGTATCAATTCCCTGCAGCAAGGGAGGACTCGAGTGCACTCCAGAAGCTAAAGGTAACCTGCAAAGTTCTGTTCGGGAGCCCACAGCTGCCCTCACCTTCCAGTATAACGGTGTAAGAGACAAGACTTTGATCCTACTCTGCTTTTGGCCAAAACAAAGTCAGACGAAGAGATCTCGCAGAATCCTCTGCAGAAAGAGTCTCTGGGACAGAGTCCCATGTGGAAGAGAGAGGACTAAATAATTTGGTTCCTTTCCTGATCTCTGTGAGATTCTGATTTTCTGCGGATTCTCCTGAGCAATCCCACTGGAATGAGACACTGATCACTGATGTTAATACAGGATCAAGCTCTCAGGCAAAGGTGGAGGCAGCAGGCACAGGCTGTTTTCAGTGGAAGTCATTTCACAAGGAGCATTAGACCAACAGCTTTCAGATGGAACAGTGTTAAAGATAAAAGATCGGGATTCAGGAATCAGTGTCTGACTAAATCTCTATCAGTGTTCGGAGTTTCTAAGCAGGACCCTAACTCTGTTTTAATGTTAGTGCCTAAAG